TTCACTCAAGTCTCAAACTATTATAGCGTTGACCGACAAAAGCATTAATACTATTGACATAATTAATAACATATAAACTTCTAAACAATTTAAAATAGTTTTGCTAAGATTTGGGTCAAATGTCAATACAAGACACAACGGAAAGATCTATTAACTCGACATCAATTATTTCATTCATCAATAAAACAATTTAAATGTGATTTTATTAATTGTAATAAACGTTATATCTCTCAAGGTGATCTTCGTAAACACAAAAATAGCGTTCATTTAAATGTGAGATTTATTTGTGATTTTAATGAATGTCACAAAAGTTTTACATCAAAAGGCTATTTAAATAATCACAAAAATAATGTTCATTTGAAGTTAAATAAATTCAGCTGTTTTTGGCCTAAATGTGAATACAATACAAATTATAAACATAATCTAAAATTACATCAATTAAGTCATTCAGATATAAAACAATTTAAATGTGATTTCAATGATTGCCAAATAGTATTTAAAGCAAAACGATATTTAATTCATCACAAAATTAACATCCATTCAAACAATAATAATTATCTGAACTGTTTTTGGCCCAAATGTCGATACAAAACACGTAATAAATCAGACTTTAAAAGTCATCAATTAATTCACTCAGAAATAAATTAATTTAAATGTGATTTAAATAATTGTAATCAAAGTTTTAGATGGAAAGTAAGTTTAGTTTATCACAAAAATGCCGTCCATTTTAATAATGATTTTGTTTGTGATTTTAATGATTGCCAAAAAGTGTTTAAAGCAAAACATCGTTTAACTTCACACAAACGTATTGTCCATTCAATCAATAGTAAATATTTTTGCTGTCTTTGGCCTAAATGTCAATATAAAACACTTATAAAATCAGAATTAAAAAGCCCATCAATCGGTTCATTCAGATATTAAACAATTTAAATGTGATTTTAATAATTGTAATAAATCTTCTAAATATAAACAGGATCTTCAATATCATAAACGTCAAGTTCATTTAAATGTCTGAGTTATTTGTGCTGTTAATTCAATCCACTGGTTTTGGCCTAAATGTCAATACAATATCATTTAATAACTGTAATAATATTTTAGTTAAATTTAAATTAAATTTTAAACAATCTATTTATTCAACAAAAGTGGTTATCATAAATAAATGTTTTATTAAAATTTGCTATTAATTAAGTTATACAAACTATATATCATTTAATTTTAAGTAATTAACTTTAACTTTATTACAATAATTGCGATAAAACTTTCATGAGTTTTTAAAAAAACTGTTTGAATCACTTGTTGTTTTGTTTGCAATTAATAACAAACTATTAATTGATTTAGACTTGAATTAGACGTTTGTGTGGACACAAGTAGTGATGTCTTCGTGAGTGTTGTCTTCACATTCTTCTGGATGTCATCGAGTGATAGGTTTGTATGGATTGTGACAAACCATGCGTTCAATTGTCACAACTCTTTGTGTCTTTCAAACAGTCTTTCGCTGACCTATGAGTCAATCGTCGAGTCGTTTGTGTCCACACTATTGCCCCCAACGGAGGCATTCAAATGTCATTACAATGAATGCCACAAATGATTCACAACTCAAAGCCGATTGAATGCACACAAACGCCGCAGATATGCCGTACAAGACATCACTCCTCGGGAACCGATTGTTAGCTCAACCGATGCCAGAGACCAGTCGACGACAGCCGCAGATGACGGCCAACGACAGCTAAATGTCATATCAGTGGTCAACCATTCAGTGCCGACAATCTTTTTGCACAGAATCTAATGTTAATGTTATGGATATTCTCGTCATTCAATCATTTATTATATTTTATTTTATTTAAAACTTTATTAATACAACTTAAATAAAATAATTACATTTTAACTTTATGTTTATTATGCAAAGTATATTTTACAAATATTATTTTTATGAACAAATAAAGGCCTGGGCTATCGACTAATAGGTTACTGGGCCCCGCTGGCCTGGTCACCATTTGACATGG